CTCGCGTAAAAAGGCATTTTCACTATAAGTAAAAAAATCAAGTGTGAATAAGTCCCTCTTAGTTGTAAAATTTTGAGAAAAAGATAATTATAGTAGGAGAAAGGCTATAAAATGACTATGTGATTTGCTTATTTGTGAAATTAGGTTAAGATGAGAGATTAAGTTTAACTTGTTAAAATTAGGGCATAATTATCTTTCCTTTACTTGATATTATGAGTATTTAGTGTAATTTGAACAATTGTATAATGATTGTTTTCCAAGTCATAAGGAATTAAATTTAAAAAAGTGCGTATATTGTTTCACCTCTTGAACCATTGTAATTAATTATGTGTGGATTGCTTGTGGATTGCTTGAGGACAAGCAATGGTTCAAGTGTCGGGGAATTTGATAAGTGACTAATTTACGTAATAATTAAATGGCATTTTATATTATTTTTAGTCACTTTGGTTATATTATTCAAAGAAAATGAATTATTTTGGCCATAATTGGTGAAAAATGTTCTTAAGAGATTAAATGAGGTTTTATCACTTTTTACTTGTATTTTGTGCATTTTTGACAGTTTTGACACATTTTAGTATTTCGGCTATAACTTGAGCTACAGTGCTCGGATTGAAATGATTCTTGAACCAATTTGAAGATAAGAGATAAAGCTACAATTCTGGTGAAGAATCGAAATGCAGTTTTAAGTTTTTCCAAGTCAAAAAGCCGAACTACAGTAGCTAATTTCTATTGGTGGAAGCTGAAACAGGCCATTGAGTAGTCAAGGGTATTTCAGTCATTTCATAGCCTGCACAAATCCAAATGAGGTGATTCTTGATGTATTGGAAAGCTAACTCAAAGAACTATAAGTTTTATGTTTTGGTCAAGAGTTAAATCAGCTTCAAATCCTCAAAAGCCATCTGAGCATTATGGTTCCACACAAACCCCTCCTTCTCCAGCAATTGGGTCAATGGCTTACAGATCAGTCCATATCCCTTAATGAACCTTCTATAGTATCCAGTTAAACCCAAAAATCCCCTCAATTCCTTGACTATAGTGGGGACAGGCCATGATTTTAAACTATCAACTTTGGCTGAATCCATGCTTACTCCAGTTTCAGAAATTACATGCCTCAGGTACTCTATTGAATTTTGGGCAAAAAAGCATTTTGGTTTCTTACAGTACAGCTGGTTTTCAGCCAAAACTCTGAGCACTGTTTGCAGGTGTTGTGCATGTAACTCCAAGTTTGGGCTAAACACCATTATATCATCAAAAAAAACTAAAACAAACTTCCTTAGGTATGGCTGGAATATCCTGTTCATCAAGGCTTGAAAGGTGGCAGGTGCATTGGTCATTCCAAAAGGCATTACTAGGAATTCAAAATGGTAATGATGTGTTTGGAAAGCAATTTTTGGTATGTCTACTGCCTTAACTCTCAGTTGGTTATAGCCAGCTCTAAGGTCTAGTTTGGACATGTACTTGGTACTATGTAGCTCATCTAGTAACTCATCTATATTTCATATGGGAAAACTATCTTTCACAGTTAAATCATTCAGTTCCTTGTAGTCAATGCATAATTTACAGGAATTGTCCTTCTTCTTAACTTATATCACAGGAGAGGCAAAGGGACTAGTGCTATGTATAATGATCCCATTTGAAAGCATTTCAGCAACCTATTTTTCAATTTCTGTCTTATGGGAGTGGGAGTACCTGTATGGTTTGAGTTTGAAAGGTTCAGCTCCTAGTTTTAGAACAATCTGGTTATCCAGCTCCCTCTCTGGGGTAATCTTTGTGGGGTAGCCAATACTTGGAAATGTTGTTGCAGAACCTTCTCTATAGGCTCGGGAAGGCCTTCATTTGTATCCCTTTTAAGTTCTGCCTGCATGGCTGTACGGCTCCTTTGCTTTTCTTGTATGAAGGATCTGAGGTCTTTTCCTCTCACCAGTCCCATTGTAGGCTGTTGTACAAAGCCTTGAAGGTGAAGTAAATCTCTTCTACTGCTAAGAGCAATGTTGAGAGTATGGAAGTCGAAGGTAATATGGCTGAATTGACACATCCAGTCCACTCCCAGGATAATATCCCACCCTCCCAATTCCATTATCTTTAGGTCAAACTAAAATTGATACTTTTGGATCAGCCAGGTCACCTTGGGGCAGATTGCTCCACTTGTTATGTCTGTCCCATCTGCTAAGGTCACAATGAAGGAATTAACTAAGTGATGTGACAGGTGTAGCAAGTTGACAACCTTATGACAAATAAAGTTATCAGACTCCCTGTATCTACCAGAATCTTAACTGGCAGTCCCCCCAAGTTACCCATCAACACAATGGACTTCCTCTTTATAGCCCCAGACAAGGCATTTAGGGATACCTTAGCAAGTTCACCAACTCTACTTGTATGCTCATCTTGCCCCACTTCTGCATCCTCAAAGTCAGTTTCTTCTTCCTCATCAGCACCTACACAGTTTAGGTTCCCTAATTTGCATTGATGGCCTATTCCAAACCTTTCTCCACATGTATAACACAGGTTATGTTTACGCTTGTACTGCATTTCCTCAGCTGAAATCTTACTGAATTCTCTACGTGTGGTGTCAATCTTCTTAGGGACTGGAGCAACTGCAAGTAGCTTGTTGAGTTCTGGTGATTTCGTCCACTCACAGAGTTCCTATACATCCCAAACTTTGGTTCTACTGCAATCCTGCCAGAAGGCTTAGATTGCTTTGACTGGATATCCAAGTAGCTCTCTTGCAGTTTAGCAACTTCAAAGGTTTTGGCTAGTGTCTGTAGTTTAAACATTTTTACCATAGGTTTGATCTTCTCTTTCAGACCACTAATAAAACTGGAAATAAAGTAAGATTCATCTAATTTTGGATTCCCAGTTAGCATTATGGTCTTCAACTCTTCGAACTTCTCCTCATACTCTTCTACTATTCCTCTACTATGTCAAGGGAACCTTTTCCAGAATACTTTTCACACAACAACTCACTAAATTCCTCCTAGGACATCCCAGGCTTTGCTAATTTCACTCCTTGGAACTAGTTATCGACTTTTCCCTCTAAGAACAATTCAACCAATTCTACCTTATGATTCGCAGGTACTTGATGATGCAGAAAATACTTTTGACATTTTCTAAACCATTCCCTAGGGTTCCCAAAAGACAACATAGGTAGCTCCGATCTTGGCAAATTAGGTACTAGCATTTTAATTTGGCCTCTTGTTGGTGACCTGCCGGCTCATTTGGAGTCATCAGTCTCAGATGTGGGTGCGGAGTTGGTAGGAGTGGTTCTGGTGATACTTCGTCACCGTCCTGCTGTCCTTTGTCCTTCATCATTACCTTCAACAGTGCAGATCCCCCGCCAATGCCTCCAATCTGGAGTTATGGTGCTTCATTTCTTCATGAAATTTCTGCTGCAACTTGTTCTGTCCAGAGGCATGAATTGTTGCTATGGTTTCTGCAATCTCTTGTAGTCTATTCTGAAGTTGATTTTCCAGCAATCGATACCTAGTGTTTTCCGCCATTGCAATATCTCAGCAGTCAAGGATCTGCTGCTTTGATACCAAAATGTCAGGCTCTAAGATTTAGCTGCATAAGTTCTGGCCAGAATTCGAAGAAAGTGAGCAAGAATTGAGACAGAGAAGAAAGAAGAGGGGGAAGACAGTGAGAAATGAAAGAGAGAGAGAGAGATAATAACAGAAAGGAGAGAGAAATAATATCCAATCTGGAAATTTACTCAACAACCTTCAGTTACAAAGAGGGACTATTTATGCAATTATTTCTAACGAACTGCAATTACTGGACAACTATCACTTAAGTCTAACGACGTAGTTTTCACCCTCTGCTAACCATATTCAAAACACACAATTCACAGAATAAAACGTCAACCTTCTTATTAGTAAGATTCCTGACACTGCTCTGCTAACCCGCTAAATATTCTTAGTCCGAGTTCGTTGTAGATGTGATCTAGCATCATTTTATATATTCTCATGTCAGAATCATCTTCCTCTGTGTTTAACATCTTAATGATATTCACTACATCTCCTTCAAGCACAATTGCTTCATCGGGAAATCTAGCTAGATGCCAAGTGAATGCTTTTTATCATAACCATCATCTCTACAACCTTACAGTCCTTGGGTGTTGTACCTCAATGCTTTGATAGGAGAAATTTATACACATAGGAAGAGTTTTTTTACAGAGAAAAATTGTTATGGATAAAGAGTAGCTAGCAAATATTAGTTAAAACAAAAGAAACGAAAACAAGAATATATTACTTTCTATAGCTTAACGTTTTAAAGTTCATGTTAATGTCAACTGTATTATTAATTATTAGCTAAAAAAGAAGTACTAGAAAAATGAAAAAAAAAATCCTCAAAATAAAGATTCTATTTTATCAATGCTTGTCAAAAACAATAATTGTTGTCCAGCACAGATGGATGTGAAGCAGCATTTTGACAAACATTACCTGTTTAGTACGTGTGAAACATTTTTAAAAAAAAAATAAAAGAGTCAATAAGGTAAGCGGGGGAAAAATGCCTTTCTGGCATCAATTTCGGATCAGATTGCTTTCTTCATTACCAACAAAAACCTTAGACCTTGTTGAGTAATTAAAATCTAGATTGAACAAGAAGCATTATGGATGACCCAATTCAAATATTTCAGTAAATAACCATACTTAGAAAGATGGAGTACAAATTTTTTTTTTCAAGTCAAGCCTGAATGATATGGGCTTGACTCTTCATTTCAATAGGTAACCATCTTTAGAAGTAAGCATTTGGCTCTCTAATACTCGCAAAAATATATATTCGCTCCCAATTGAGTCCTTGACTTTGATAAAGAAGTCCGTCTACCACCAAAATTCTTTCTTGTAATGATCGATTGCATACTACATTTTTAATTTATCAATTTGCATCACCCTTATTTGTTTGGCACCGTCCACGAGCTCATCATTTAAACAGAGTTTGCCTGTTCAAAATAGATATGAGTTGCTAGAATTGCTTTTACAGTTGAAGATTAACACACCATATGATCGACGAGAAGAAATAAAAGACGAGATCAGCCTCCACCACTCCAGAGGTGTTCGCATATTACTTTGGGGACATTGGGAAAGTTGGCATATGTACAATCAAAGCTTCACACAGCTGGTTGCCACATGCAGTAAGCTAAATTAAAGTAGGCAGCTTCATGTCCTTTCGCTGCAAAACATGAACCCGATGGGAACCACATCTAAGAAGTCCTAAGCAACAGAACAACAAATAAGAAACCCAGACCAAGAGAAACAAAGGACAAAATAAATTAAAATTCTCCTCGCTCCTTAATCTTTACAGAGTCAAAAGCTTCTGTTCTGCAAAGCACACCATGAAACTTCAGATATTCTTGGATTTACTAAATCATTCATGCTCCAGTACGTTCTGAAACTGAACCAACGGTATCACAGCATCCACCGGTCTGCATTCAAACTGCGATAAAAACACATAAAACCAAATAAACCTAGGAAACAGGCGAGCAAAAAACAATAACCGATTATTTTTCACAAACATGGAGAAGTAAAACAATCACCTTGATACTAGAGTTGTGAATTCCTTTCAGTTCTATACTCCTATCAAACATCTTTCTTTCAAAAGGCAGTTAATCACCGTTTCCTAGTCCAAATCAGAAGTCCTGAGAACCATTCTCCCTGTAATGCCACATCAATCAACAGATACCAAGCCTTGGGAGTAGAGAATGTTGCACCACAAAGGGATCCTTGACTAAGTCAGGTAGCAGGATAGCAATATGTTGTACACAAATCAACATGCACAATTTTGGTATGGCAAAACCATGGTAAGTAGCATATGCAATGAATGTCGTAGAAAAATCATCGAAAGTCAAAGTCAAACCATATGCACTGAAAACCACTCAGATATGTTGCATCTTATAAGCCAATGGGATGAAGGATTTGCCGCAATGATAACCCAAAGGGTCTCACATAGATCAAGAATAATCACTCAAAAAGAAGAAGAATGATACGTTCAAAAAAAAAAAAACAACATACACCAAAAGGAAAATACAGTTTGTGCTTAATAACATCATGTCAAGTAACCACAACGCACTTGAACAATCAATCAAAAAAAGAACTAATACATGCAATAGAACTCATTCGTGAAAACACAGTATTCGACACCATCCTCGCAGTTTTTTATTTCATCATGTCAAGTAACCACAATGCACTTGAACAATCAATCAAAAAGAGAACTAATACATGCAATAGAACTCATTCATGAAAACAGAGTATTCGATACCATCCTCGCAGTTTTTTATCTTAATGGCCAAAGAATCAGAAGAAGACCAGTTAGTAAGATCAAAATATAGAATGAACAAAATTGAGGTTGAAACGAGCAGAGCTTTAGGCACCAAAAAGATTCTTTACTACCCATTTCAATGCACTGGTTCAGAAGATTCCAAACAACGGCATCAAGTGCACATTTCGCAAAATTTACAGAGAAGATGGCAAGTAAACAAAGATTAAGGCAGTACTTTTTCTGGTAAAATGATGGCCAATGTTAAACACAATCAGTTACCGATCGAAGTCGAAATAACAAAACAAACCAAAAAAGCAGAGGGGGTTGCAACAGTTGCTTTCATCTTTTTCATTTTCTATTTTCTATACCCAAAAAAAAAGGTTCGGAGTTTTTATTTATTTGTTTTTTGGGGGGAGGGGGGCACAGAAATGGAGGCCTGGGGCATCCACTAGAAACTTACTGTTTCTACCGGTGGATCATCCTCACAAAACACCGAAGCCTAGAACTTGCAAAGTACAGAATCAGCTGCAACATGCATAAAACTTTGTTAATATAGAAAGATTGATGCAACCAAGGAAACAGTGGAATTCACGTTCCATTACCTTGGCCATATTGAAAACCGCATTGCCAGTCTTAAGCAAGAATATCTGCAGAGGTGACAGGCCTAAATGTCGTATCACTGATTCAACTTTTTTGTCATGCAGAGGCACAACTTCAATTTGACTGCAAAACAAGGCACTATCATGTTAATAAGCTTTACAGTTTCTTCCATCTTAGAAACAAATACATGCAAAACAAACTGGATGTGAAGATTGCATCAAGGTTATAGACTAAACATGCAGCTATAAAAATAAAACAAGAACCATGTGAATCTACCTATTCATCTTTACAACCAAAACCACTAGTTTTTTTATCTCAAATCATTGCCAGGACAGATATCAATACAATCGACCAAAGTCTGCCAAAACCAGTCTCTGCACCATTGGCCCCTAAATCTAGATTGGATAGGTTTTTAAAGAGGGGTCCTGTGCATTTGTGAATAAGCAGTTGAAACCTTGTGTTTTCCATTGAAATGCTACAACAGTCATGCCAAGGAGTCATGAAGTGCACAAATCCTTTTTCTCACTGAGTTAATATGTTGAAAGATGATTCAAAAGAATTAAACAGAAATTTCTCTCATAGAACTGAAGTGGACTGCAATAGCTAATACAGAAGAATAGCAGAAAAATAGATCCAATGACTAAATGAACCAACCAGGTGAGCAGGGAAGAGCTCAAAGGGGAGTAAGGGAGATGGGCTTAAGAAAGAGAAAACTGGAAATAAAAGCTAATAGCACTTTGTTTAAAAGACAGAGGAAACAAAAGTATTTCTTTCACCATTATAAATTGCATGTACAAGACAATATTGTCAGACCAATCAGAAAGGGGAAAAAATACTTCTGGTGAAGAGAATTCCCTAGGATAAAGTTTATCCGACTTGCTGATCATGAAACTTGTATCCATAGAATGAACAGCAGAAACCTGGGGTACTGATCCAATTCTAAAAAGGATCAAGGGAAACAGGAGAATTTCTTGAAGCATTAAAAAGCACTGACACTGCAAAGGCACCCCGAGAATGCAGCCACATTCAGTAAAATTGACTACAAATAGTCAGTGACAGAAGGACACAAGGAGAAAAGAAGACAGGATGCAATACGTTGTTCCCTAGCAAACATGGAGGTGCTCTGGGCAGTGAACTCGAAGAGACTTTTGACGGTTAAGAAAAATCGGTTTCAAAGATAATGGCATTGAACCTATTCTGTCTTTGATCTTTGTTAGTAACTGATATCTCATCCCAACCACAGTCTCTACTTCAAGATACTTAAAACTGTTTTCAGCATCCTATTTTTTTCCATGTAGACCTGCCACTTATGATACATAATCACTAGTAAAGCTATTTTTAAAGAAACAAAACAAAAACTAGATGCAGGTATGTGCTCGCAAGTCTCATACATTGAACTTTGAAATAAAAAGATAAAACAAAGAACAAATGGACATTCTGATAGATTCACAGAATCATGACATTGAGGCTAAAGGTATGACCTACTGTAGGAGATATGACTAATCTCCCATCACACAGAATCCAAAATCATATTGATGCATTATAACCTAACTGGAACAGGTAGAATATGAGTAACATACCTATAGGCAAAATGGGGTAAGGACCATTGCATGACCACAATGGTTAAGCATATCCAGTAGAAGAACATTATCCTGCCAAAAAAAACAAAAAAAAAAGGAGGAGGATCATGCATTTTCAACACCAATGATATACAACAAATGATAAGCAATAATTAATCATCTCACAGGATATGTAGAGGGTTCCACCGTATAGCTATCAACACTGCACAACAAAAAAAATATTATGAGGTGAAAGACATTATCAGATTTCTGAGTAACTTAATTCAAACAGTTTGGCTTTCTTATTCCGGAACAGGACCACTTCTGAGCTACTGGATTATTGACCAAACACACGTGGCCAGAAGATCAAAGTAGAAAGACAAGAATAAACCCAAATGTTACCCAAAACATATATAAGGGGCAATCTCAATGCATGAATCACAAAAGTCGGTGATGTGCAAACTTCCCGCAACTCAGATTTGAATGGAAAAATGTATAAAGCCCAGCAGATCAACAGTATCCATGGAATTTCCTTTCTCACACTTCATGTTCGTTTTCCCCTCTCATTTCCTTAATTTTAACTCTGTCGATGTGCCTACGCACATAATGTCCTTAGTTCTCTACAGCTTGGTTTTTACGCTTTGATGTTATGCCTTATTTTTTCTTCATTTGGGGATGGTAGGGAAGGGGATCAATTTTTGAAGGTTCATTTAGTAGCAACAGACTCACAAGTTTATTCTCTCAAGGACTGCATGCAGTAAATTTTTCTTAAAAAGCAAAGTGCTTGGAGAGGAGGAGCATTGCCTTTCTTGAATAATAGTCTTACTTCATAAGGAATTAAAAAAATTAAGTATCCATATTTTTCTGAAGCTTGACAGCAGAAGGCGTAGTGTAAAACAATAAAAACCATGCTTACCTAGCATGAGAACTACTGGTACCAGGCGGACTGACAAAGAACCAATGTCTATCATGTGCCTGAAGAAGGATAATAAAGGGAGAAGAAAAGGCCAGTCCATGTCAATAACAACAATGAGTACCCAAGTGTTGGCCTGGAAAGAGAAATCAAGTAGAACTATGAGCATGACATCAGATGAAAACTCACCTCGCATGCGAGGTTAGGTAGTTCATGTCTCTGCGTATATTGTCAATGTCTGAATATGACGTAAAGCAGCCATACGTTTCAAAATTGTTTTCCTCCATGGATCGTGGCTTATAACTAGTGGACAATGATACAGTTGGCCAAGTTTGAAAAAGTGACAGACATGCCCTGGAAGTGTAGCAATTTGAACAAAGAGTTATTTTTCTCTTTCTTTTCTTCCATTTTGCGGGGATGGGGCGTGGGGAAAGGGGGAGGGGGATCTCAAGGCAACAAAGGAAATCAGCTCACAGAGAAATCCGATACACGCCACAGAGAGGCACAAGTAACAGTGCTTTAGCTTCATACAACTGAAAGTACATGTTTAACTATTGGTAGCAAGCATGTTTATTTCAGATGATATCTTTTCATAAAAGAATTGGACCTTCAGCAAGAAGCTCACAAGCCTTATGCTGTGCTACTACAGCTAGACTAATGAAAATGCTGTGCTACTACAGCTAGACTAATGAAAAAACCAAGTCAAGAGTCTGCCATTGCACCATGAACAGGCAATCAATTTCAGAGGCAATCCACCAGAACCCTTTATTTGCTACATCAAAAACTTGCTAGACCAAAACTGGTTTCACCAGATGCATATAATTCACCAGCTCCTGAAGATCGAAGGAAGCCAGCTTACTATGTCATTCACAATGGGTTACTTGTGACACATAATTTCCCCCTAAACATACATCTGAGCCTACTTGTAGTCTAATTTTTCAACAGTTGCTATACAGAATTGATACATAACATACATAAACCGGAACCAGCTAGTTGCCACAGAACTTTCAACACAATTAATTCAAATTGCTTGGAAGTGCCGGACGGTTCACGGTTAGCAGCATCATGTTAAGTTCAAGCAGGTCATTTGCAAAGTCAAAATAGAAGCACCCCCAGCATCAACCAAATATATACGCACATGAATGAGGGAAAAATACCTGAAGACAATTCCAATGTAAAACACAAACCCAAAGGCAACAACATAGCGATACAACTCGCAAACACCATAGCCATTAGCAACCAAGCTCGGAAGAAGCTTGATGATCACCCCAAGGGCTCCCATCCATGTTAATAGACCCATGACCTTCCGCATGGGCCTGCAAATTCCATGCTGGCACTGAAAACCACCCAACCCCCCCCCCCCAACCAAACAAACAAGTAGTGAAAGGAAAAAAAACCCAAAATTAAAATTCAGTAACAAAACCATTCTCCAAAGAAATTATGAAACAGAAATTTAGAACTCAATTAAAACAGCAACCGCCAACTACCATGAAAATAGCATCTCGGAAATTGTCCATGGAAATAAGCACCCACGAAAGTAAGATTATCAGCAGCAACGCCGCAACCAAGGCTGCCTTGCCCGCCTCCGGCTGTAGTGGGGGACAATCATGCCCGGCTATAATTTTGGTCATGTCCACAAGCCAATAGACAGGGCAATCCAAGGAACAGGAAGAAGAAACCGCCATAGATCCTCCGCCTATCGTCGTGTTAAAAAGCCCAAAAGAAAACACAAAGAAAAAGGAAAATGTAAACGCAAAAGAGTACTCTAGAATATACCCAATTCCAAATTTTCAGTCGATGCAAAGAGGGCGGAGGGAGGCGGTTAATTACTTTCTAGTGTTAAAGGGCACCAAATGTGCGTGCAATATGAAGACGCTTTCTAGGTGTTATTATTACTTACCCCCTTCAACTACATCATTACTAATTTATTATTAGTTTATTTTTTAACGTTACCTTTTAATCATTTCATTCCATAAATAATTTAACTTAACATATTAAAAAATTTTAAATAAAAATAATCTTTTATTTTATAACATTACCATATTATTATTATCACTTTATCCCTTAAAATTATTATCGGCCCCAATTATTGAAATAAAATTATGAGTTATAAAAAATGAATTTTGATTAATTTTGAGTGAATTAAAAAAATGAGTTTTTGAAAAATAAAAGAAAAAAAGGGCCTAAAATGTAACTTAAAAGTGTGATGATTTTGACCTAAAATAATAGTTTAAAAAGGATTTAAAAAAAAAGGATCGCCACTTGATATTGAATTAAGATATATCAAATCACCTAAAATATATTTTTAAATAAAACCCTTTTTAAATGACTCCAGACTTTCGAAAAACAAAAGAAAAGAATTTGGAAGTCATGGTTGAAGAAAAGGAAGACAAAAGTTTGATAGGATCAAACCTAAAACACCATTTCAACCTAACCAAAACTAGTTGCGAGATTTAATTGAAAATTTTCTTAATTTAAACTATAAAACTTATCATATTTGGATGTTTTTACATGGACGCAAATCTAGACCTAATGGATATCGAGAGGGTCGAAATATCTGTTTAAAATTTAATTGGTGCAAATCACATTAATTGTGATGGCAAAACATGATCTTAAAAGAAGTCACGAATATGCAAAAATGAGACTCGAAAAAAAAAGAAGAATTATAATATATAAATATACGTGACCTAAAAGAGAAGAATGCAATATAACGGATACATGGAACCTAGATTCGTGACTCAATTTTCCTTTTTATAAAGGAAATACGAGCATGCTAAAGCTAAAAAGTCATACTCGTCCATTTTCTATATTTGAACGGCGACTCTCCTAATTCAGTCAAGCAAATGAACTAATCTATATTTAATTTACTAAATGGAATGTAAGTTTAAATATCATGTTTTGCACACATAGGGATAAAAGAAATAATATATAGAGGAAATATCATACAAGATAAGAAAATATCCTAAAAATGAAAAAATATGTATGAAATGCAATGAATTTCATGCAAAAAATTGTAAATCTAGTGTGAAAACGGTCTAAAAGATCTAGTATTGGACTAGTCCTTTTTTACAAGCCTTCACTTGCGTTGGACTAGTGAATAATCGGGGAGAATGGCCACAACTAGTTTTGGACTAGTGTAGTGATGTCATGCATTTATTATAACCAAATAAATCATATAAAACATGATTAAAACAAATAAACACATAATGCACATAGAACACATAACACATAGGCATAATTTTCCAGATTAAAAAACCCTAATGAAAGCGAATAAACACGTAAGCACACAAGTAAATAAATGCAAATAAAAGTCAAACTGTAACATTTGGGGGTCTAACTATAATCTAAGAGAAAAATTTTTAAACTTAACTATTACATTTATCTAACTAAATATATTTTGAGCAAAACTTAAAACCTATCTATTACATAGGTTAGTTAAGTGCATATCTTGAGCACCTATCTATTACAATTTGGCATTTTTATGCCTCTCAAATAATCATCAAAATCAAATAAAATAAATGAAATTTGTAGACACCAAATTTTTGTCAATTTTTAATGTTTTCTTGAATTTTTTCTATTTAATGAGTTATTTATTTTCTTGCATTTTAATATGTATTTTTCTCATTTTGCAAGTTTTATTTTAAGAAAAGAAAATTATGAAAAAGAATCAAAATAGAAAAATCAAAATCAAATCATGACCAAATTTATACATTTTCATCATTTTTTCCCTACCAAAACCAATATTAACCCATTTTTAAACTCAATTCCCATGCACCTTTTCTTTTCATTTGGTGAAAAAGCCATCATTTGACAAAAAACGGATCCAATACTGATATCCTGGCTTGGCTTCTTTCTTTTCTTACGAGGCCACACAAAAAAAAAAAAAAAAAAAAAAAAAGAGGAGCTTTCCAATTTTTTACCCTCTCAATCCACCCTTTCGACTCTTTCTTTTCATTTTCTCAATTCACACAACACACTCTGAACACTAGCACAACTCTCTTCCTCTCTCTCGCAGTTGAAGCTACTCCCATTACTAGCAATCATCACTGCTACCATCAAGTTCCAGAACATTAAGAAAACACAAGAGGCAGCAATCGGTTGGATTGAAACTTGGGAATTTCATCAAAAATTTTAGCAAAGAACTAATACTCTCATTGAAGTATCTCCCTTCATTCTTTTTTATTTCTTTTTTCAGCTTTTTTTTTTTAATTAGTTATATTATAATCATATCATAGTTGTTAATTTGTTTCTTTCTCTTATTGGTTTGCTATCATTGTGTTGTTGGGTAAGACATAAACAAGATTAAAGAGAAAGGAAATAAATCTTGTGTATGCATGACAAGCATTTGAGAAAATGCTTACGTGAAAAGTCGAATTAAATGGGGTTGTTTTTTGTTTGTTTAAGGTTATGATTGGATCGTAGAAGTCACAAGTAATATTTTGGTATAAGATTTACAATTTTGGGGTAAGATTTGAGTGACTTTAGGGAAGCAAAACCGTGGCTGTAATCTGGAAATTTGACCACTTTTCTTTTTTTGTTGGTAAAAAATAACTTCGGAAATGAAATTTACTCGAAAAATTGAGTGAGGTGTGTATTTTGGTAAAATTTAGTGACTGAAAAATTTGCCAGTGATCGACGACGTCGGTCCCGCAGTGGCGCAGGCGGCAGCCATTGCCACGAGCAGGAAGGTTGCAGAAGAAAGAACAAGAAAGCTTCAGGCGGGATGCATGATCATTTCTGAAAATTTCATTTTTGATTCCCCAACTTTTGCCTAATTCCACAATGATTCAAAAACTTCTGCAATTGAATCAATGTTACCCTTTTTTAAGTTTAATCCTTTTTTTCATATTTTGTCATGTATTTTCAGTGAATAACTTATGAGATTTAGAGTATAATTAGACTTTAATCATTTTTAGTTGATGTAATATTTTGTTGGGTTTTGCAAGAAAGTAGTTTTTTGGTTAATGTTATTTTGGTTGGATTTAGGGAATGAGTCATTGGTTTTTTTTGATTGAATTTTGATTAGATTTTGATTGGGCTTGAAAGCCAAAGCCCATGCATTTTTCAGTTGGGTTTGAGTGACAAAAACATAGGCTAGCCTGCTTGCTTTCTTCGAACTTTCAGCTGGGCTGGGAAGGTTTGGGCCAGAAAATAAGAGAAATGGCCCAATGGCCTTTTTGTCAAACAATCTAGTGACGAATTTGTAGTCTGATCCCTGTATTTTTGTGTAATTTTATTTTGACTAAAAACTTTGGATTTCTTTTAATCAGGTCCTTAATTTAATTTCAATTTGTTCCCTAAATTTTATTTTTCTTTAATTTTGACCCCTAATCTTTGTAATAATTTTATTTGACCCCTAAAACTTTCTTAATCTTTGCAATTAGGTCTCTAATGGTTTTGATTTCTTAAATATAAATTATTTTCCTTCTTTAATTGTTATTATATTTCATTTAAGTACTTTGATTGGTAGATTTCATGATTATTTCTATTACTTTATAATTAAATTGGTGTCTTGATCATTTTGTTGATTTTGGAGCATAAGTAGGGCAAATTTCACTCCATTCAATCATAACTTCAAGGGAGGTAACCTCTTTTATTATTTTAAATTCTTTTTTGTGCTCCAATTTATTTGTAATTACATGTTTTAAGTGCCTCTTCTTTCAATTATTCATTTTGCTTATTTTAAGTTTCATTTATTTTATTTAATTTTTGCTAATCATTTGAGAGGCATTTCAGTTAGCCTATGTAATAGATAGGTTTTGATTTTGCCAAAAATGTAATTAGTTAGATAAATGTAATAGTTAGGTTATTATTTTTAATTCTCACCTTAGATTGTATTTAGGACTCCAAAATATAATAGTTAGACTTTTATTTGCATTTATTTACTTATGTGCTTGCATGTTTGTGTGCTTATGTGTTTACTCGCTTTCATTGGGGTTTTGCATCTAAAAATTATGTTTATATGTTATGTGTTCTATGTGCATTATATGTTTATTTGCTTTAATTATGTTTTATATGATTTATTTGTTTATAATAAATGTATTATGTCACAACACTAGTCCAACGTTACTTGTGGTCCTTTTTTCAATTTTTCACTAGTCCAATACTAGTGAGAACTTATAGATATGGGCTAGTCTAATGCTAGATCCTTAGGGATCATCCATGCACTAAATCATGTTTATTTGATAATCACTACATTTCATGCATATTTTCTACTTTTTTAGGATCTTTATCATTTTGCATGATTTTTCCTCTATATGTATATCCCTTATCCCTATGTGCGTGATATGACATTTAGTCTTGTATTCTATTTAAGAAAAATTAGAAATAGATTAGTTCATTTGTTTGTCTATGTTAGGAGAATTATTCATCAAACATGGGAAATGGGTGATTATAACTTTTTGGTTTAAATATCTTATTAATCTCTGTATAAGAAACTTATGTCACAAGATTTTGCCTCCCGCACCCATTATATTGCATCCCTTTTTCCTTGATCACTTATATTTATATATAATTTAATTTTCATTTTTTCTAGATTTCATTTTACATACTCGTGACCCCCTTTAAGGGATTATTTTGGTTTTCACAATTAATGCGATTAATATCAATTAAACTCTTGAATGGACATTTTGTCCCTTTCAATATTTTTTATAAATTTAGATTTGCATCCATGTAGGAAATATCATAATGTGATAAGTCCATAGGTTAAATCAGGAAAATTTTTAACTAAATCTAGCAATTAGCCTTAACTAGATTGAAAGGGTGCATTGGATTTTATCCTTGCCTTCCCTTTCTTTAACCGTGACTTCTGAATCCTTTTCTCTTATTTTTCAAAAACTTGGAGTCGTCTAAA